TTGAGATTAATAACACTTGAACTTTGGCTTAAAATATTTCCAGCTATGGAATTAGTTTTGTCCTTAAGCAAAAGTGTAGCATTATAATAGGACAGGGTATCAATTGTGGATTGCTAAGAATGGTTTTTATGTCCCACCATGAATAAGACCAGGGCAGATAGTGTTTGTTATGTCGATCTTCTGTCCTTCCGTCACACTTTGCAGTTAGCTCAGTTCAAAGCTCAGATTCAAAGAAATTAAGATATTTTCATCAAACTTCATATGATGTTACATGTACACATTGATGAGAGTCACTCAGGTGACCTATTGCTATCTGCTTTCGTCCTTCAACGTGCGTCACAACTTTATGCACTAGCTGTCCCATGGATCAGGGGTTTTGGTTTTAGGGTGGGGCTCTATTAATTTTATAGTAAAAATGCTTTAATTCTTTGAAAATCTTCTTCTCTGCTTCCGGGTATTAAATAAAATAACTAAGTACATAGTTCTGATGAACAAGAGAGTGCCTCTACCAAAGTTGTGGATATTATGGTCCTAGGGTCAGGGGTTCTGGTGTTAGGGCGGGGCTCGTTTGATTATATAGTGAAAATACATTGATTCTTTGAAAGTCTTTTCTGCTCCTGGGTATTAACTTTGTAAATAGTTATGATGAGCAAGAGTGCCTCTACCAGAATTGTGAATTTTATGGCCTGAGGTTCAGGGGATTCTGGTGTTAGGGTGGGGCTCTATTGATAATATAGTAAAATGGAAATATAAGGAATCACTGTCTAGTTAGTAGAGTATGCCAGGGACATATCAACGATATTGGAAAGATGGGATAATGTATGCAAAGCGGGCTTCGCAAATTTTGAGTTTTTATCGTGAATCAATTTCTTTTAATGATGTGTTGATGTAATAGGAATGTGTTTCAAGAGGCTGGCTAAAAATTGTTAAAACTACTGTCAATTATCAAATGGAGTAACATTTTATATGAAAGGATCTATACTTTTTTATTTATTTTATATGTCAGGATTAAGAGAAGACAAAAATTTTATAAGTTAACAATGTTCCAGGAAATTGATTTCTCTGTGGACACAGCCTTTAACAAAAAGTCAATGAATCAAATTCTTCGTTAAAAAAATCTACCCACAAATACATATGATCTTAAAATTACTTATTCTACATGTCTTAGACATTTCTTTGAATAAAGCCTGGTTTAATTTCTGATTTTCTCATAGGAATCAATTTACATACATGGCATGTAAGTTAAATTTTACTTTTAAAATCAGCATTATCTTTGTTTCTCATTTGAATTCATTTCTACAATCGGAAATGGTCAGGAACCTTTTGGTTTAAATATAAAATTAAAATTCAGAGTTCCCCTTAAAATTCAGGAGTCCCTCTGAAGAAGGTTATGGTGTTTTTAAAAAAGTAAAATCTCTAGCAGGTATATAAATTGAATTCCTATCATGTCATTTGAATGAAGACAAGGGTATGATGATTTCCATTTAGTTGATTTAAAACATCTTTAATGGCTGTCATGAACAAGGGTCCCTCAGTGGTTTTCATGAAATCGGAATTTAAATCTGAAACAATGTAAATGTTGGTAATGAGCTTTTATGGAATTTGATTAAAGTCCTAATTAATTGTTGGATTTAGTAACAAGTATGTTGAGCTGGTGACCAGTTTACTTAATTCCAGTCAGTGCACCAGCCTATGAAGTTCAAATTACTTAACAATGTGAAACTAAAATCCTCAGAGAGAAAATTTATTTTTGTGTGAAATTTTGGATCCTGAATGAAATTTGAAGAACCATGAGATTTTGTAACAAAACATCCTTTCTCCATAGCGGTTCCTTCAACTCCTAACTAGCAAGTGAATTTAAACTACTTTGAGTTTGTTTATGAGGTCTCCTGTGAATAACATTAAGACGCCTCTATGTACATGTAAAGTACTATAAACTGGAGAGTGTTTTCTTTATTTTCTCCTTAATGTTCCCTTTAATTGAGATGGTTCTTTGTGATTTGGAGTGAAATCAAACATTTCTATGTTAATGTGTTGACACTGACTTCACCAGTATGTGATTTGGTGTGAAATCAAACATTTCTATGTTAATGTGTTGACACTGATTTCACCAGTAAACCCCGTGTTCTGAAAGGGGGGCGTATTGTACACACTGATTAACTGTGTACGATCCTCCTTATTAATTAACTTTCGGATCACTTTTTAACAAATTTATTTCGTGCTCAGTATCATGGGCCAGAGGGGAATTACATTTCTTTAGGGTAAAATTTTATTTTTATAATGAGGTAAATGAATTGTAAATTGTTTTTTGAGCAGTAATCATTTTTAATTTCTGTGTATTTTGCAAATGTTGGTAGAAAGAAGAAGGTATGGTTTTAGCTTTATTGTGCCCTAAAAATGTCATGACATCAAAAAGTTTTGAAACTGGCTTAAACATTAGTGAAATAAATGACTCTGATAAATCGGGAAAGAATATGGCATGAAGGTTGACCATTCTGCAAATATGACGTCATTAATGTGAAGCATTTCTCTATTTTCAACAGAAAAATCCTCAAAATGGCACATTTCAAGGTTGATTTTCCTATAGAAAACAGTGTCCACAGCCGTCGCCCACGTTAATTTTTTGAAATTTTGTGCAAAATTCAATAACAAATCACATATCTCAAGATCATTGTGGGCGATGCATGTGGACAATGTTATCTGAAAGAAAATTCCATTGAAAATTGGTGTATTCTGCAACTTTTTAAGAAAATACGGGAAAATACACATGTTTATGACGTCATAATTAGCATTTAAAACACATGTGAGAAAAACGACTTGTACGATTTTTCTGCATTGAATTTCAATTATTTAAAAAGCGTGAGTTTTCAACTATAACACAAGTTTCATTTTTTTAGAAAATCACAATGCAAAATTTGTATGGAAACCATACCTTCTTCTCACCCAGTATTGTGTCTTCTCATAATAGAAGTTTTGTAATGACATTTTTCAAAATGGTTGCATTGTGACCATAGTTCTGAAATGTTGTCTCTACGAAATCAATATAAATATGATTAATCATCTTTTCTGCATAGGTCAAATTGTTGAGCCAACATGTAAAAATGATTGGAGCGAAGGTAGACGTATAATAGAAATTGGTATCCTTGCAAATAATTTAAAGGAGTGCAAGAGATGTGGGTAACCTTTGCATTTATCCGATTGGTTGGAGAGACTAGATTCGGACTCGCTCAAATTCTTCAAGTGCAGTGTAGATGCCAAGAGTGTAGGCTACTTAATGATGTCCCAACAGGCAAAAAACATCTAACATAAAAGGTAGGAAAAGCCTGAGATATGAATACGAAAGTAGCAGAAGGTAAGTGTATTATACCGCTTCATGAAAAATATGCCTACATGCAAGTCTGTGTGATTCACACCCCAATAATTCACACTAAGCTTAAAAACATTCCTTATACACTGTATTTACGTTTTACATGTTTGGAAACAACTAAAATGTACCTAATATTTGAATTTCTCGGTGGACTATATCGTTGCATTTTACTAACGTCGCTGCGATCTCATTGTCACGTCACGTTAACGCACGTGTATATTTCTACGCGTGAGTATACACAAAAATAGTTTTCAAATCTATTTCACAGTTGGTTTTGTACCAAAATACAGCAAATGTAAATATTTTGAATTATTGGAAAAAAAAATTCATGCATGATTATTATTGGATCTTCTTCAGGAGTGATGGTAATCTCACTGTAAGCTTCGATGGTGCCTGGTAAAAACGGGGCACTGGGCGTGCCTACAATAGCCTTACAGGTATTTTTTTATGTTTAAAAGTCATCAATTATCCTAATTAGTATTTTGAATTGGATGCTTTGACTTTTCAATGATTACTAAAATAATGCAAAGTATTTACTGCTATTGAACGGTTCGTATACCCCACGCAATTAGTTGCGTCAGATATAATGTTTTTGACCCGTCCGTCAGAGTGTAAGTCAGTCCTATTTTTTTTTTTTTGTCAGCACAACTCCTCATAAACTTCTGCACAGAATTTCGTCAAACTTTGCAGGTATTTAGGACACAATGTCTAGATGTGCGTATTACCAGGAAATTCTGATTCTTTTTTTTCTGGGAATGTCCGCACTTTTTAACTTAGGCATTTGGCCATACCTTGAATATAGAGATGAAAAGATTGTCAGCACAACACCTCATAAACTCCTTCACAGAATTTCGCCAAACTGTGCAGATATTTAGGACATAATATGTAGATGTGCATATTACCAGGAAATTCCGATTCCATTTTTTCCGGGAATTTCCGCACTTTTTAACTTTGGCATTTGGCCATAACTTGAATATCGAGATGAACATTTTTTCAGCGCAACTTCTCATAAACCGCTGCACAGAAATTCGCCAAACTTTGAAGATATTTAGGACACACTGTGTAGATGTGCATATAACAAGGAAATTCCCATTCTGTTATTATTTCCATGAATTTCCGCACTTTTTTTTACTTAGGTATTTGGCCATACCTTGAATATAGAGATGAACATTTTGTCAGCGCAACTTTTTATAAATCGTTGCACAGAATTTCGTCAGAATTTGCAGATATTTAGGACACAATATATAGATGTGCATTTTACTAGGAAATTCTGAATCCTTTATTTTTCTGGAAATTTCGGAGCGTGGGGTATGTGAGCTTGCTCACTTTTTCTTTCATGTTTGAAGGACATGCAAGTTTAATTGGGGGAAAAACCAAGAAATGTGTTGGTTATGCTGTAAAATTTTGAAAAAAATGCAGAATATGCAGATTAGGCGAAACGGGAGGATGTCCCTGTTAGGTAGCACTAATGCAATCGAAACTGGTCTGGATCAGCCAAATCTAAGGAACCTGCTATGGCTTGCAAGATTGTGCAAAGTATAAAAGATCAAGATAAAAAGGTAGGAATTGTATAGACATGTTCGATTATATAAATATATCTGTGTGCATTCAATATTCAAAATCCGTGAAGAGC